AGCACGTGGGAGGAACCGTGTCCTTCACCCCCGGGTGGTGGGCTGAGCGCTCTCTGACTGCAGTTGCAGGGTGGCATTCAGAGAAGTTTCCATCAGCAGCTTACCAGTTGTCTGTCCTTGTGTCTCATAATTTTTAATGATACAAGTACAAAACAGATTCCTGTTTGGGAAGGTACTTTCCTTTCTCCCCTCAGATGAAAGAGGGACCTCAGTTGCCCTCTTTACGCACTGGGTGTGATAAAATCTGTTCTTAGGTGCAAAGGGATGCTTCTGCTTGTGTGACATCATTCTAAAAGGTCCTCAAGTTCTTATGAGGAAGGAGGCCGTAAGGAATTACATCATAGAAACTCTTCCTGGAAATAGTAACGGCGGGGATTTAGACCTTGGTCTCAATTTTTTCTTCTGAACTTGTGTTCAGTATCATGTTACAGTTGTGCTAAAGGTACTGATTTTCCTTTGTTGTCTTTTTTTCCTGTTTGTCATAGTCTGTAGATTTATGCTGTCTCATGGGAGCCACTGGCCACGTGTGACTATTTAAACTTTAATTAAAATTAAATAAAATTTAAAAGTCAGCCCCTCAGTTGTACTAGCCACATTTCAAGTGCTGAGTTGTCACATGTGGCTAAGTGGATAACTTACTGGACAGTGAGGATACAGGGCAGAAAGTTTTATCAGATAGATGAGATATGGTTATTCAGATCTTTGCCTAATAAGTATTCCAAGAAAGACAGGGGAAAAAAATCTCGAATCTGAAGAAGAGAGAAATTTCCAACCAACTGACTAGAATAAAAATTAAGCCCATCAAAAAAATTACTACATAAAGAAGGCTCATCATTATGCCATTTTAGAAAATTATGAATAAAGGCAGTATCTAAGCACTTTCTGGATTGAAAAGAATGATATGAAGGATCTGGAATCAGAATGACATCATATTTCTTAAGTTGGAACACAGACTGAGGTTTGAATTCTGGCAAATTTATTTTCAGTCAGAATTTGAAGTCATTCCCTCACTAGTTGTTCATTAAGAATCGCATAAAGATGTTTGTACATGTTCAGGATGTTGGTAGAATTCAGCTTTCATACATCACTTCTCAGGAAGCTACTCGGGAATATGTCCCATCAAAACGAGAGACTAAACCAAGAAAGGGGGAGATTAGGGGTCCTGGAAACAGAAAGAAGCAGAAGGAATTCTGAAGATGCTGGTGTGGTCTCAGGGCATCTGCTAGTAGCAAACTTAGCTCTGACAGGCACACACAAGAGACCAGAAGTTTCCAAAGGAAAGTCTGGTGTGTGTATATATCTGAGAGTTGGGGGATGGGGTATGATGTACATTGGAGCTGACAGATTATTGGAGTGAAAAATTAAATTGAAAGATTGTGGAGTGTTGGAAGAATTATCAAAGAAAACAAAAACAGAGGCGACTAATAATCCCAGGAAAATTTAAGAGTTGCATAAGAAAGGAATCATAATCACACTGTACTGCTTGCTCAGTGGTGCCCATTCCATTGACAAAATAAAATGTGTAGAGTTCAGGTTTAACCAAAAACTGTGATGCTGTTGGGGAAATGTGGGAGGGTAAGCACAGAATCGGTGATGGGGATTTAAACAACCAAAAATCCTTGTTCATATGTGAGAAAATCAAGTAATATCTAAAGTTCATAGGGTATATTATAAGCTGCTTATTTGGGAACATGGAAGTTTATACCAGAGAGCACCGTCAATAAGAAAAATTGTTCTAAGACTTGAGAGTGGTTGCTTTGGGAAGTAGAATGGGGGCTAAATGGTGCTAGAAAGCTTGCAATTAAATAGAGGAGTCTTTTGCTTCACCTGTGTATGTGTATTACTTTGGAAAGAATAAAAATGGTTTGGAAAATCAAAGTATATACCTTCTATAAAATTATAGAAATTTTAGTATGGTTTTAATTAGGGGTTCTCAACCTAGGGGATACTGACATTTGAGCCAGATAGTTCTTCGTGAAGCGTGCCTGTGCTGTGTGCTTAGGCAATTTTGCTGCATTCCTGGCCTCACTAGATGCCAGTGGCATTCTTCCCTGACTCCCAACAACTTGAAGTGTTTCTGGACATTGCCTGGCGTCCCAGGGGGTGGGGAGGTGGGGCAGAATCAGTCGCATTTGAGAACCACTGATTTAAAGGATTTAAAATCTGATATTTAGTGAGTCGTCTCAATATATAAAAATGTGGGGCAGCATTGGTAGTGCAGGAAACAGCAGCTTTGTCACACAGAACCTGAGCCCCTTACGGAACCAGCCAAGTGGATGGGGGCGCTGGGGCGCTCTGACACCCCGGTCCTCATGCTGCAATGTGTCTTAGCCTCGGCTCTTCACCTGGTTAATTCAGGGCTCACTAAAAAAAGAAAAGGCCTCAGGAGGAAACCATAGCTCCTCTGTCACGCTCAGTGACTTCAGAAAACATATTTTAGATTTTTCACATTATTTTCATGATGGTACAACTTGGATTTTTCCAGAGCGGAAATACTAATCATTATGGCAACTTGGAAAAAAATTGCACTCTTTGGATCTATTTCTGTGCTCTGTTGGCTGCAGGACAGAGATACATCCCTCCTTCCTCCCTGCCTCCCTCCTTCCCTCCCTTCCCCAGCAACTCTTTTGCAAGTTCTTGGTTCAGTTACTTGCAAGGTGTCTTCCCTTAGAATTTACAAAAGGAAGTCAACAGGAAAATGGTTCCTCAGATTTTTTTTGATGTGGATGAAACCTCATAAATAATTTAATACCCTCATTTCACAGCTGAGGAATCTCTGGTCCAGAGAGAGTTTCGTATAATTAATTAGGAGCAAAGTGAGGCCTGTAACTCTGCTCTTCTTTTTTTTTAAAAACATTTTAATTTTTTTAAAACACACCATATGTGCACAATGATGCTGTGGAAGGGAGATGGGCAGTGGGGCGGGCAGTGGAGCTGGCATAGTCTGCCAGCACTGTCATAGCATTTAGGGTTCCGAGCATCATCTATGGTTGTGGGGTGAGTGGGTGGGGGCACTTCCTTGTAAGTGTAGAGAAAATGAAGAAAAAAAAAGGCAGCAAGTGTGTCTACCTTTTCATTAGGTGCTCCTTAACCCCACTTCCTGATGGTCCCCTTCCTGAGGGGAGAGGTCTAGTGGACACAGGAGTGGGTCAGACAGGGAAGCCCCTTGTCTCCCACCTTCTGTCGTCCTGGTGGCCTTGGAACCGGTGTGCACCTCCCTCACATGGTGACTGAGAGTGAAGTTGGTCCCTGCTGGTCAGGCAGCCCCTTCGTCTTCCCTGAGCAGCCTTCCAGTCCTCTGCTGTCAGCCCTCCCTTCCCAAGCACCATGAGCGGGTACCCCACCGTTTTTGGAAACCTCTGTGCCCTCCTCTTGCTCCCATTCATTGCCTCTGGCACCCCTCGAGCTGCAGCCCCTTTCTCTTCCTCCTCACCTGCCTTCATGTGCCAGCAGGAGTGCCGCCTCCTCTGTGAAGCCTGTCTAGATTTCTTCCAGGCAATGAGCATGTGCAGAGAAGACGGTGTGCATGATTCCTTGTCCTATCAGTATCGGCTGGTCCCCCTTGTCACCCATCTCAGCAGCAGCTATTTGCTGATCTTTCCTGACTTCTGAGAGACGGGCTGTCCGTAGGTGCCAGGGACACCACCCTGTTCTGGATTCCCTCCTGCCTCCCTGCCCTTCCCCCCAGTGTCTCACCAGCTCCTTCTTCCCAGGGCTCCATCCTCAGCTCACAGTCCTGAGACCATTGGGTCTCAGCGGGGCAAGTGTGCCGTCCAGGGGACACTGGGCAACATCTCATGTCAATTTTGGTTGTCACCTTGGGTGGAAGATGGGGATTGCTCCTGGCACCTAGTGAGAATACCCAGAATGCTGTTCAAAATCCTGCAGTGCACAAGGCAGCCCCACCACAGCTAACGGTCTGATCCAAAGCACCGGCGGTCCCAGGGATGAGACACCCGGCTTTCGGCAGTTGCATCCTGGCACAAGGCTTCAAAGGTCTCGGTTACAGGAGGCCTCCGCTCCCACTTGCTCAGACCCGTGTTTAACTACCTAGTTGACGGTCGGCTTGGAGAGCCACCGGGCATTTCAGAGTGAAGGCCATACAGAAGTCTGGATTTGTCCTCGGCCCAGCCTTCCTGCATCTTGGGCACTGGCACCACCTTCCGAATGTTGCTCAGGCTCTGAACCTGGATGTTGTCCTTGCTACTTCTGTCCCCTCCCCTGCCGACATCCGCTCTACCCTGGAGCCCTCCAGACCACACCTCCGGCACAGCTGAGACCTCGTCGTGTCTCCCCATTGCACCTCGCCTTCCCGCCAGCACTGCGCAGGCCCCTTGCATCTCTCTACTAAGCAAGAGCTTCTTTGCATTTTGTTCTAGGCACGATGGGGGCCTCTGAAGGGTTCTTAAGTAGAAGCATGTTCAGATTTTATTTTCTCCTTCAGTCTGGTGCTGAGTGAAGAAAGACGAAGAATGGATCAGACCCCTTTCAGAGGGCGGCAGAGTCCTCCATGACCGGGACTTGCTGTCTCTCACTTTTGCAGCCCGGCCCACTGGCCTTCCTCCTGTCACCGAGATCCTTCTCACCACAGGACGTTTGGACTTGCCGGCCACTTGCTCTTGGCCCCATTTGAGCACTTCCCCCTCAAAGAGCTGTGTTTTCACCTAGCATGTTAGGAAGATAGAGAAAAATGAGCCCGTCCTGAGAACTGAGCAGCTGATTGATTCAGTTGTTGGAATCCCCTGGTGTGATTGTGATTGGTGTTGAGATAGTGAGTCTTCAACAGATCTCTGTGAACAACCTCGCTGTATGCTTTACTTGGACTTGGAAGCCTGAGAGTCAGTGACGAAGTTTGTCTACCCTCTGACAGCATTACTATTTCAGCTTCATGAGAGCCCCCTAATTCAGAAATCCGCCTGCTTCTGGAACAGTCGAGAATGTACTTTGAGATATATTCGGTGACATTTCTTGCCTTACTTTGGGTATTTTTTCATTGACAGGTAACTGAAGACAGAAGACAGGCCTAAAAATAAACCCCAGAAGGAAGAAGGGATTTGCCTACATTTGACTCTGAGTAAGTGAAATTGTAAAATGTATTTCTTATTCCGCAACGAGTATCTTGTCAGCCTCTCCGTATTTTCTGTGCTTAAAAATGAACCATTTTTGTGTTAGCTTTACGTGCCAGAAACAGTGATTTCTCAAGATTCCTTGTAACAGGTGATTTGCTAACAGAAAAATGCTGTATATCTGCTTCAGCACTTCACAACAAACTCCTTTTTTATTTAGCTTCTGGAAGTCAGAAATTTGAGGGAAGAGAAACGGAGGTGGTTATTAAAACGTGTGCTTTTGAGAGAAGCTCCGTTTCTGCTGTTCTTTCCCACGTCCCTGTCAGGTACTTCTGACTCAGACGCCTGGTTCCTGACAAACAGAGGTTTTCGACTCTTGCGCGGATTACAGGTGTTGGCTGTGCCCGGCAGAATGTGTTTGGAGAGGACAGGCGGTGTGTCATTGCTTGTGGGCCAGCAGAGTTTTCAGTGCAGGCCTGTCTGGCACCCCAGTGAGGCAGCCCGGCCTGTGTGTTGGCCAAGGGGAGGCATTTTCCTTCCGACTGGGCCCCAAGTGGACTCCTGTCGGCAGAGAGAAGGCCGGGCCCCCTGGGGTCTGGAGCTGCCGTCTTGACTGCCGTGTTTTACCCTGTTTACGATGAGGCCTGATTTGTACCCCAGCTCAGACCAGTTTGTGAAAACTCTTCCATTTCTGGGATGACCAAGCATGGTGGAGTGTACTGAGATGTGTGAGATGCGTCTTGTTCTTTAGGATGCGGCATTCCTGCCGGAGTGGATGGCTGTCCCGTAGGTATGCAGACTCCCCTACTGCGGGGGTCCTGGGGCCGCCCGTGCTGGAGCAGCTGAGGGAGGCTGGTTTGGGTCTGGTGATGCATGGAATTTTGAGACCTACTGAAGGAGTGCATTCTAGATGGGCCACTCTGAGGGCAAAGGAGAGGAACCAGGAATAAGAAAGCTTTCTGTCTTTAGGGAAAAGTTGACAAGCTACCTGGTGGAATGCTGGGGAGTGCTGCGGGGAGGGTGCAGAAAAGGCATAAGGAAAAGGCAGGGAATTTGAACTGTACCTGTCTATGCAGAGCCCACAGGAGACCCGCTCTGATTCTCTTAGCGTCAGTGCTGCCATCTTTGTCTGCCTGGACCCACCTGACGGACACTCCCCATCAGAGTCGTTTGAAAGAGCACCAAAGATGACTCTTAGAACCAGCCTGCACAGTGAAGAGAAAATAGAAAATTATGGCAAAACACTCATGTCACACTTATCTGTGCCAGACATCGCCGTATTTGGTGACAACTTTATTGAGTGATAATTCACATAGCTGACAATTCACCCATTTGAAGCGTGCAGTTTAGTGGTTTTTAGTATGTTCCCAGAGTTGTGCAGCCATCCCCACAATCGATTTTAAACCATTTCACCACTCCCCAGAGAATTTCCTACCCATTAGCAGTCACTCCCCAGTCCCAATTCCTCCAGCCACTGACAGCCACCAGTCTGTGTTTGGTGTCTTGATGTTTCTTATAAATGAGGTCACACGGCGTGTTTTCCTTCTGACTTGGTTTCCTTTACTCAGCTTAATGTTCTCAGGGTTCTCCCACCTTGTCGCACGTGTGAGTACTTCACTCCTTTTTATTGCCAAGTACTATTCCATGGTACGAGTAGGCCACATATTGTTTCTCTGTGCAACAATCAGACACTTATTTTTGAAGCCTTCTATTTTGAAATGATGTTAGACTCCGCAAGAAGTTGCAAGAATTGTACAGTGAGTTCCAGAGCACCTTCCCCTACCAGTGATGACGTTGTGTGCAAAGATCCGGCCTTATCAAAAGTAGGACATTGACATTGCCAGCGCTGGCGCACAGGCAGACCTTATCTGGATTTCACCAGTGTTTATGTGCACATGTGTGCGAGCATGCACATGTGGCAGTTGTGTGACGTGTAATCACACGTGCAGACGTGAGCAGCCACCACCATAGTCTGAGGCTGAACCGCTCCATCCCCGCGAGAACAGTTCATCATGCCTCCTCTGCAGGGTCACCCTCTCCAGCTCCAGGCCACAGGTGGGTCCTCCATCCGGTTTTGTCCTTTCAAGACTTACATCAATGGACTCACCCCGCACGTGGCCTCGTGAGACTGCCTTTACTCGCTTAGCCTGCGGCCCTTGAGATCCATCCACGGTGTGCTGTGTGTCAGCAGCTCCTGCCTCTGCAGTGCTGACTCAAGGTCTGTGTGTGGATGCACCAGCATTTATTCATCCACTCACTGGTGGAAGGGCGTTTGGGATCTGTCCAGTTTGGAGCTGCGGTAAACAGGGCTGCCGTAAACATCGGTGCACAGGCTTCAGTGTGTGGGCCAGACTGTTTTCAGGTCCCGTTTATTCCTCCTGCCGCCTGGGGAGGTGGGTTGCCTCTTTCTCCAGACAAGGACGGGGCGTCCTGGAGAAGCCCAGAGCCTCAGGGGTAGCACAGGCAGCCTGCTCAGCGAGGAGCCAGCACTGCAAACTGACCCCTCCTGCGGCTCTTCTCTGCCTCCCTTTGCTGGCTGGAGGCGCCGAGGCTCCAGCGATCAGTCATGCTGGGCTTCTGCACCTTCAGGACCCTGTTTGGGAGGGAGAGCTCTGGCCAAGCAGATGCGGAGAGTGAGCACCCCAACCCCCTAAACAGGAGCAGCGCTGGACCCGGCCCTGTCCTTTCATGGACAGAAACAGACCCGCCCAGATGCAGCCAAGCCCCTTGTTCTGCTGAGCTGCTTCCCCCCTTGAAGACGGCTTTCAAACCAGGTTTGTGTTCTTGAGTACCCAGACCACACACGGGAGCCCTGCAGACACTGCCTCTCTGTAGATTATCAGGGAAACTCCTTTCTCTCAAGAAGCTACTACTGCCTTCCCCTCGAACCCTCGCAGACTGGGAAAGGGGTGTTGGGGGCAGTGATGCCCCAGCGAACGATTGAAAGTCGAGTGAATTCCTTCGTGGTGGAATCTGACCCAGACAGATGTTAGGGGCTGATTAATTAAATTCAAGAATAAGCTCTTAAAATTGGCTGTAGATTCTGGTAGTAAAGTGGCCCTGAAAATAATGAGAGATTTCTTTCCTTTCTGACATCTTTGGCTATTTCAGGCTCTTTTACCGAATCAAAGTATTTTTTTTCTTCATGTTTCCACTTGGTTTTCTTTGTAGACACGGCAGTTCCCAAAGATCTATTTCTTGGTTTAGGACAGTGGTTCTCAACTGGGGGCAACTTTTACCCCCAGGGGACACCTGGCAAAGCCTGGAGACGAATTTGATGGTTATGATTGGGGGCTGTGTGTGTGTGATACTGGCACTGAGTGTGCAGAGGGCAGGGATGCTGTCAAGTATCCTGTGATGCACAGGATAGCCCCCGCCCCTCACACACCGAACAATTTTCTGCCCCCAAATATCAATAGCACGAGGTTAGCTGGTTGGGATAGGACCCCAAACTTTGCATATGTCGAATATTGCTCTCCATCTGCTTTCACAGTAGTTTAGTAGCATTGATTTTGAAGCACCAGGATAAGGAACTACACACTTTTGAGCCTCCTGCGATGACTCAGTACTCAGCATGACTATACGTTTGCAAAAGAATGTCCCTGGGTTTCTGTTCCTAAATTGTGTTTTCCTTTGCATTACGAAATGTATTTTTGACACTACGATCATGTGTGTAAATTGATAGGTATCGATTCAGTTGCACTCCATTTAGTTTATAGTCTATGAAAAAGGAAAATAGTTTGCATGGTTTGGGTTTGTTGTGGTCAGTAGTAATTCCGAATCTTTATTATTTAGGATACTTATGGAATTCTCCAAGTTCCTACTTTTATAAGACACCCATATACACAATTAGCAAGTTTTTAATGGAACCTCCAGCATGAAAATAGTCCTTCAGAAGACTGTAAGTGAAACATCATGCCTTTACTTAAAACTTGTTTAAGTTGTATTTACAAAGGGTTATTTTTATGGTGATAATATATGCATGACATTTAATTTACCATCTTAACCATTTAAAAATGTACATTTCAGTGTCATTAAGTCCATTCACACTGTTGTATAGCCATCACCACCGTCCACGTGTGGAACTTCTGTCATCTTCTCAAACAGAAACCCCATTAGACAGTAACTCCCCTTCCCCCACCCTTGGGGACCCCCCCCCCACTCCACTTCCTATCTCTGAAGTTGACTATTCTAAGGGCCTCATGTAAGTGGAACCATATAATATTTGTCCTTTTGTACCTGCTTTCTGTCCCCCAGCACCATGTCTTCACAGTTCAGCGACAGTGTAGCATGTGTCAGAATCTTTTCCCCTTTTGTGGCTGAATAATACTCCGTTGTGTGTATTATGCCTTGTTCCCTTCAGCTTCCGAAGGAGAGAGCAGAGCAGTAGACGGACCCTTTGATCGGTAGCAGAGGTGTTCAGCTGGTGCTCCACACCGGCACCACTTCCCGCCCCGCTCTCTTGCAAGGAGACCTCTTCCTCCTTAGCTTTTGACCACAATCCTCTAACAGGGAGGTGGGACTGTCCCCCAACTGTCCCTGAATATGCTTTCTTCTTTCCTTCTCCTGTGACTTTACTTCTCTGCAAAAGTATAAACTCGCTCTGTGTGTATAAACTTTTGAGACTCCTTGCAATCAACATGATGAAGTCTGTATGTGAAAGGATTCTTGATTATTCTGAAATGTGTCTGTAACTTAAGCATCATCTACTAAAATCAGTGCTCTATATGGGGAGCTGATTTGGTCCTGACACGTTACTGCAATACTTAATCCTAAAGCAACTGCTGTTTACTTACAGGGGTATCTTTTCAACTCTGATGAGTTTGTAACTGAATTTACACAGAAGAATCAAAATGAATTTCTTTGACATTTTGGTGCAAAGTAGGAAAACAGAATTGATATTATGTGTGTGTTCGTGTGTTCAGTGCCATCTGAGTGCTGCGTGCTGAGAATTGAGCAGAATATTGATTTGCTAGCGGTGTCACCCAAAGATTTGATCTGATTTTTT